CTAGCACTGATGAAGATCCGGGCTTACGGATCGAATTAAGCTTTGCAGTAATAAATTTACGTGGTGTTTCCACAAACAAAACCTATTATATTTTATCACCATGCAAACATACAAAGAACTTAAAAACAAAACAGTAAAAACAACATTGCGGCTCAATTTTGCTGAATGAAAACTCGTTCTGCGCCCGCGTACAATCTTTTACTAGTCAGCGACACTTTTCAATAGGGGAATTTCTCGAGTTACACGAGGCTATTTTCTAACTTTATTTGCATTTTGCTCATTAGTTTCATCGGTGACCTATCTTCAAATTTTGACCACGAATTTATTTTGCGGTAAATTTTATAAATTTCAAATTTTAAAAAAATCTGTAGTGTGGAAATTTTGCAATACATTTTTCGCTTTAAAAAAAATCACACACTACAGAATTTTTTTAAACTTTCACCACAGTTGCAGAGCATCATTCCTTATTGATATATGAAATAAAAAAGATAGGTCACCGACATCGTTTTTGAGATAGCGGCACATTTATGGGTTAAATTGGAAGGCTTTATGCTGTCGTCATGTTACCATGGGAACATTGACATCGTCGAAATCTAGTTCGAAATATTCCTTAGGTGACCAATATTGCCACCAAGTCGAAAAGAATTCGCGTTCTGCACGAATAAGCCTGTTTTACGGAATTATTGCTTAAACAAGAATAACTGTAGGGAGCCACCTTAAGTACTTCGATATTATTATTTAACTCTGACATGTCATGGTAGACAATTTTAATTTACTGACCGACTGTGGCATGCTGGCCCATATCTCACCTAAATATTACCTATAACACCTATAAAGGAGCAATTTCCTCTTATGTTACCTACTTGAAGTTCTTTGTAGGAGTGTGCAAGATAGAATTTTTTTGCTATCCAGGATATATGTTAGATAGTTGAAAAATATCCAGCTAGATTCAGAGTATTATTCAAATATATAAATGTTTTTTCTAACCTGTAAAGAAGGCCTGAACTTAGCTGCAGCCAAGCTTCGCCCTATTCTTGATGTTACATGATGTTCTTGCTTTTCTTCTGCCCAGTCCCCAGCCAAATTACTGTATGTATATACTAAACTCTTTGGCTACTATAGAGACTGCTAACTACAGATTTTTAACTAATTTATTGACAGACCTCTACCTACTTATAAGTAAAATTGTCTGGCATTTATAGACAATAAATACTAAAGTAGGTCTGTAATAGCCTCTGATGTTTCAGCACTAGCTTCTAGACTTGTTCTCAATTTCTTTTACTAATTATATTTTATTTAAAGACTATTTACATTATATGTTTTAACATTTTATTATCTATGTTTTAACTACTGGTATTTATAATATACAGTATTTTAAAAATATTTATAGGCTATATGTATTTGTATATACTATATTTAATAGCTATTTTAACTGTATTAACAGGACATATTTTTAACTATTTATTTAATATGTTATTACTATTTATTAACTATTTTTAATCTATTTGGGCAATATTATATCCACTATTTATTATCTATTTTTAACAAGCAGGGATGTATTTTAACTATTTATTATCTACTTTTAAACTATATTATCACTATTTTTGAACTATTTATTATCTATTTTTAAACTATATTATCACCATTTTTGAACTATTTATTATCTATTTTTAAACTATATTATCACTATTTTTGAACTATTTATTGACTATTTTAAACTTAGTTGCAACTCATTTCAGCTATTTATTACAATTTTTACCTATATTGTCACTATGTTTTAACTATTTCATACATATTTATTAACTATGTCAAAACTATATATTTTTAATAATTTCCTTAAATAGCTCTATTTTTATCATATTTGAAACCTATTTAATTTCTATTCGAGTACATCAATTAAGTATTTGTTTAGAAATATATCAGGAATAGGAAAAAAATATGGTTCCACTTGGATAGGAAAAAAATAGCGTTTCTACCCTAATTTAAATAGGAAAACCTCGAAAAAAAATAATAGTAAAAATAGGGAATAAATACTTTGACAAATAAGAATTAAATAGCCCAATAAAATAGGAATTAAATAGCATTTAAATAGTATTGTAATAGTATAGGGCTAAAACATTGTGAGCCCCTATTTTCCTGACGATATGTTTGATACCTACAAACGCCGAAAAGGTTTTTCTTTTCATTTACCTATATTTGGAATTGAGGCCACAGGCAATTTTTGAGAAAATACAGTTCAAAATCAAGCTATTTTTACATATTTCCAAAATTTGGCAAATTTCGCGAGTTTGTATTTTGAACTTAGATAGCTGAAGTTACATTAAGAAACATAGGATGGAAAATATAAGGCGTTAATTTCAACTTACATTTCATTCTCATATCACGTCTTTCTTCGTTTATTACGTTTTTAAACAAGCCACAGATCGATGTATACGGTATTTACTCCAATGTTCACGCCGCCATATTAACTTCTTCCTATCACTCGATTACAAAACAAATCATCCCAAAACAAAGAATTCATAGTCGACTTTTAATAATAATAAAAATAATAATAATGATTTAATAGCATTTCCACATAGTGGCTCTTCTATGCTACAAGTGAGTTTGATTATAAGATAACAAAGTATACAATACATACAACGGAGTACATAATACGACACAACAAGTATTACAATACGTAGTATGTTATACATTACAGTATTTAACAATTGACAATTACTTATACACAGTAATATACAGTATAGTTATACACACAATGTCAACAGAGTTTACGACGTGTCACTAATTCTGTTTTTGACTAATGTTTTGTTTTGAAGTACTCGGAGGAGGTTCTGCAATAATCTGACTTCTAAAAGAATAACCGTTAATTTGTAAATCGTTGAATGGAAAGCAAAAAATCGTCAGCTAAAACAGCTTTTTGCTAACTTTTTGCTTTGTTTTGAATGTAAATGCAATGAGCTTTGTTTCTGCCCGCGATTTTTTGGTCAGCGACTACAAATTTCCCACCTGTTCTGAATAGGATAATTTCTATAGAGGGTACTTTTTTGGGGACACCCTAAACAGGGTGTCCCCAAAAAAGGAAAACTATTGAAATCACCAAAAACAATTTAATTGTTAGAATTTGAATGCCTAAGGACTCTGTTGGTTCCCATGAGTGCATAAATAATTGACATAAGTAAATTTTATGCATAAAGAAATTATTTAAGAAGCTGCTTTAAATTCCCAAGAGCAGAAAATTGCGCACTTTACAAGGAGATGTCCTTAACTAAATTTTAACACATGCACCTTGCCAATATTTTACGCATCATTACGTTCAGCTTCTTGGTAGGGCATTCAATTTTAAGAATAAGTGATTTCAATAGCTTATTTCAAATATTTTTGGGACACCTTGTACAGAGTGAGTAAAAAAACTGACACCTTTGTTTTTCAAATTATCCGCGAAGGTATCAGTTTTTTTTTACTCACCTGTAGAGCGTTTGCACTCATTCCCCAGGGACCAACTCAACAAATTAAAAGTCATGGCGGCCATGTTAGTGTTTCAGACAAAAGAGTCTAATTAGGCTAATTTAAAATTCTTTTGAATTGGAACACCAACATGGCGACTGTTACGTCATGTGCAAACGCTCAAAAAATCTGCAAACCGTTTGAAATAAAATGTTTTTACAATTTGCATAGTTCAGAACTTTTTTTATCCTAAGCGTGCGTAAACACAATAGTTGACCCATTTGCAGTCGAACTGATAATTAGTTTTCTGCATTACAAATAACTTTGTGTTATTCTAATTTCTATCAACGCGGTTAATTTATAGAATGTATTTTCAAATCCCAGGACCAAAATAAGTAGCACAGACATGCTAGTAAGCAGCAGAAATATGCAAATTATATTGTTTGCAGGTTTTTTGATACACCCTGTACAGGCAAGCTGCTGCATTTACTGTTCGGAGTACTTCGGATTTTCGGAACTCTAATGGAATGGAACAGAAGACAGTCACATGACTGTTCTGAACTGTTCTGACTACCCCGATTTTCGTGTAGAGCAGCCAGAACAAACACGTGACACTGCCTATTTTCACATGATTGGAAATGGAGGCGACATATTTTGTGTATCCAATGCACACTGCATAGAGTGTTATTTTGAAGGGTTAACCGCTATATTTCGACATATACTTATTATATGGTATTTGAACACCAGGGTTTGGAAAAATCAACGAGTAAAAACGTTGCAAAACCATACTTAGGTATACAAATAACAGCGAATCATTGTACGCTTTAATACGCGAATAATTAATGAATATAGTAATGCAGGGTTGCACGCATAGGCCGTTTGCGGTGACCTCGAAAAGTGCCTAGAAAACGATTTTCATTAAGCATGTCTTGGAACCAAAATATTTTTATGGGAACTATAAAATAGGCCGTTTGCGGTGACCTCGAAAAGTGCCTAGAAAACGATTTTCATTAAGTATGTCTTGGAACTGAAATATTTTTATGGGAACTATAAAATAGCCCGTTTGCGGTGACCTCGAAAAGTGCCTAGAAAAAGATTTTCATTAAGCATGTCTTGGAACTGAAATATTTTTTATGGGAACTAACACTTTCGAACACGCTGAGTTCAAATCCGAAAACTTCCCGCACCGAAGATCCGCAGTTTTCTCACAAACTGCTATTTTATCGTCGCTAATTTCACAACAAATTTTTTCATTGTTCAACGACACGGATGGATGAAGACACACGATTGCATAAAGGTTCGGTCACACGGAGCGACAAGTCGCAGGGGCATGTTGCAGGGACATGTCGCCCGAAACGAGTCACACGAAGCGACAATGTTAGGCGAAAACAAGTCGCACAAGCGCTTACAGGCGCGTGGTCACACGAGGCGACAATTCATGCGACAAGTCAAAGAACTCCCATGAGGATTATCAATGCGAGTAGACGTATGTTTTTGAGCTCCGTAATTTTACAATCTAACAAGGTTTATCGAGTTGATACTACGTTGCTACAACGATGGATACAGAGAAAGCTGGAGGAATTAGCCTGCTGCATGATCTATCTATCAGTCAGAAAGGAAAGCTCGTATGGACCTCGTCTTTTGAAGCTTTACAAAGTTTCGTCAGCGAAGCGTTAAATTTGACTGATGGAAAATGGTCGACGCCGGGAGGGCATGCAAAGTTGTACGAAAACGAGAACATAGCTATTAGATGGTACTCTGATACTAAATCGATTACACTTAGTGGCAATCTCGCAAAAGAATTTGAAGAGAAGCTCAAATCGATAGCATCTATATCACAAGACTTAGCAAACGAAGGCTTGTCTTTTGTCAGCCGTAACGAAGCCGCCGAAGGAGTTCAAACAACAAACGATTGTGAACATTCCCTTGAGGCCTCTTTCAAACTAATAATCAAACAACTAGAGAGCCGAATGCTAATGTTATCAGAAGATTTTTTAAAAAATACGCTAGCTATTAACAACACGCTACTTGATCATTCCGACCAACTCAACGGCCTCAAAAACCAAGGCAAGGAAAAGTTATCTGCACTTGAAATAGGAAACCATGAACTTAAAGTCCAAAACAGTGCTTTGGAGGAAAGAATGGCCAATTTGGCTTACATACTGGCCGACCTACAAGGCAAGCTTAAAAACGCTGAAGAGGAAAAAGCAAGCCTAATCACAGTCATTAGACTGTTGAACAATATTAATGAGTCTAACGATTGCGCGGGGGATCAAATTGATGCTAATTTAGCAGTCGAACAAGAACAACAAAATCAAACTAGTGAATATTTTCAACCAAATATTCCAGTGAAAAATTCTTATATGGCTCTCAACGTAGAAGAAACAATCGACGAACCCTCAATCAGCGAGTCCAGCCAACAGTGTGCTCATCAAAGTGAAAATACAAAACGAGCACAAAATTTGACTACAGCAACAAGATATAACGAGCGGAATCCAAATCGAGCACAAAATACTCCTAGATCAACAAAATATGACAAGCACAAACAAACTGTTGCTATTTTCGGAGACTCGATGATCAAACACATGAATAAAAAGCGATTGCAAAACGGCCTAAGCTACAATATCAAGTTAAAGACATTCCCTGGTGCTACAGCTGCTGATATGGCCCATTATAACCCTTACGAAAATGTTCTATAGAATCCTATAGAATATGGTATAGACTATTCTATATCTTATAGAATATTCTATGGGACTTGCAATCCTATAGAATATTCTATTGCCATATTCTATAGAAGTTCCAGATCCTATAGAATATTCTATTGCACATTCATATGAAACATCCAGTAACATATTCTATAGAATATTTTCTAATGCCGAAATAGTATGGGATATTCTATAGATAATTTCATAGAATGTGATAAACCTATAATTGATATCGATTTAAGCCTAATTTATACTGCCTAGTACACAGCAAAAAATCGGTGAAAGTATTGTGATTTTAGAAAAATATTTCTTAACTAAGAAATCTGTTTTTTGCAAGACAATTTGTTCTTGGAATAAGTTTGTTCCTTTCAAGACAATTTGTTCTTGAATATTTTCTAATAATTACTTAATAATATACTTATTTCACAGTACATTTTTTTTCTTCAATGAGATATTAATGTGTTTTCTGATTTTCTCATCGCGCATTGACTGGAAACCTGGTACCTAGTTTACGTGTGAGGGCGCAAAGCTTCATGGGATAGCGTCGTTTTAAAATTGCAATTTCAAATTACTCGCACATGGACGGATTTGAAGGGAAATTTTCCCTTATATTTTCAACCCAAACGATGGAAACGGCATTGGAAAGTTCTTAAAATGTTATTCAGATCTCACAGGTAAGAATATTTTCATTTTTGATGCTATTTAAGCACTTTAATTCCGAAATAATGTAGTAAAAAATTTTGAGTCATGTGTGAAAATATTCCGTTGAATGTTTGAATTTGCCGCGTCAATTTGCATAAAACATACAAAATTTCGGTTTCTAGCGATGGAAGAAAGAATAAAATATGAATTCGAATATATAGTATTGGGAATTCTATACTAAATTACGCACTGTTGTTTAATTATAACAATCCACAATATAAAGTGTCTTTGCCTTTGGCATAATTTGGCACTGCTAGACGACCTTTGTCAAAGTATATGAAATATGTTAATATTATTAAGATATGTTATCATTTTAATACTTGAAATATAAGTATTGATGTGATATTTTCAGTGTGTTGAAAGCTGCAAATTGCAGCACATTATTTGCCCAAAATTCAAATTTGGGAATGGGTTAATGAGCTTCAGGTGTATAAAATGATATGTTTGTAAAGCTGGAATAAGCACTATAGTCACTAGCTAGTGCTGAGACAAAGGCTCTAACGTTGTCCTTGTACATTTTTAGATTAAATATTGCAGCTGGGCTATAGTCCGGCTCAAAATATTGTTCTCAACAGTTGGAAATTTCTGGATTGAGTTGACAAACTGGTGTTGTGAGGTAAAAATAGCACTGTCCAAGTTTATTGCAATTGATACAGAATATCGTAGCCTTGCCTAGCCAGACTAGTCTTCTTAATTAGTGCTTTATATGAAGAAAATTATATACTGGCCTAGCTAAAGTGGCCCCCCAAGCCAGACAAATCAGTCTGGATCTTGTAAACACCCCTAAGCCGGGCAGTGGCAACTGGTATGTGTTTAATTGAGTTAATTAAGATTTATTTAATGTTAAATTTAGTATTTATGGGTTAACAGGACATAATGGCAGATGTCTTGTTAACCCATTAATGTTCAAGACTCTAATTCACTTGACGAGTAACATTGTCTGACAGAGTAAATACTAAATTTACACAGATGATGAGATAGAGTGAGCGTTAGACAGTAAATACTAAAGTTGGGCATATGGGGTGCATGAAAGGGTTAATCCATTGAGCAAAACTGCTATCCCCTTGAAGAGTAAAGTTGCCTGGTGTTAGACAGAGTAAAATAATAAAGTAGGATGCAATGAAACTTAATGGGTAACATTTACTTATTTTTCATTTTTGTATAGTAATGACATGCCTAACAGATATTGTTTCCAAATTGGAAGAGCAATTACGACTCTTGCAAAATGGCCAGTGTTCCCCTTCAAGACCATATGCATCAATGATGACAACAAGGATTCTATCCCATAAGTCGTAACCTACGGACTGACATGAAGAACGAACGCAGGCTCACCGGGAGTGACATCACATCATTGAACAAGGATCAACCGTTGGGAGTAGACGTCGATTTTCGAGTTCCAGTTCAAGTTTTGGTTTTCGACGAGAGTTAGGTAAGTATAAGTTTGGATTAAATATCAGTTTAGGTGCAGCGTATTCTGTACGAATTCCGCTTATTTTTACCTGGAATGACCTTGTACGGCATTCATTATATGGACATGGTCGGAGCGATTACGAAATCTAGGTGTGTCTTTTAAAATATACTATAGTAATGTAGTTTTTACGTTTCTCTCCTAGACCATGTCGAAGGCCAATGTCTCCAGTGTGAGCATATGTGCAGAGCAAAGTTCAAGGCCTATAGATCCGCTAGTGAGCGATCTTGACTTAGATAGCACTATTGATGAAAATTTTGATCAAAGTGCAGTGAACCGCGCGATTTTAATGAGTTTGAATCGCTTAAACGAAAATTTTACAAGCTTTACTGAGCAATATCAGGAAGATGATGTTGAAATAGATTCTCAGCCAACTGACGACCATGTTGAGAATCCTGAAAATGTCGATATTCAGGCGGACATTGATAGTTTAATTCAATCAGGCGGACAAGTTGACCGTGTTAGTGCCGACATCACTAATGCCAATGCAAATGAAGCTGAAATTTTGCAATATGAGCAACAATTAGATCTTAACGTTGATGTTAAAGGGCCAGCAATTAGTCAGAAAATTGGCGATTTGGTTAATAAATTGCGACTGCAAAGAGTAAGCCAAGATCAAGCTAAAGCGATCGCCAAACGTCATAATACACCCGAAAATGTTCAATTATGCCTGCCTAAATATGAACCAAGTATTTGGAATGAAATTCCTGGCAAGGCACGCGTTACAGACATTAAATTTCAGTCAACACAAGCTGCATTGGTTCTATTAATTGCCAGCTTGAAGCAACTAATTCCTTGCTGTCGGCCAATGTGTCCAAAGATGTTCTAAACAGTTGTTTAGATGGCCTCACACTGGCAATGACTGCTAATTATGAGCTCAATCAACGACGACGGGATGTTATCAGACCTTAATTTAAAGCGGAATTTGCCAAGGGGCTTTGTAGTACTACGAGTCCAGCTGACGAATTTCTTTTTGGAGGCGACACTGCTAAACGCGTTAAAGAGATGGCCGAGTTCAACAAACACAAAGTGTGTAAAGGCACGACCAGTTTTCGTGGACGAGGTCCGAGATTTCACCCGTATGCTACGAGAGGTTTTCGAGGCGGTTCAATGCGTGGTAGAAGCCAGCGTGGCCACGGTTCTCAGTTTGGTTCTGGTTTTCATCAGCGCCAGAATTTTCAGAATGTGCCCCAGTACGAGCGAAAGGCAAGCAACCAAAAGCCCACTCGCAACTGGTATGTTGACTTATTAACTAATGTTAAATCACTTATTTCTGAGCAGCCAGGTTTTAGGGCTGGTAATACTAAGAATTGTGTTTCTAAATGGTCAGAGATCACATCTGACCCAGAGATTTTAGATAATATAGAGCATTGTCACATAGAGTTCATTGATGACCCTTCTAAATATAGCATTCCAGGGCATCAGTATTTTAATGTCCACCAACATGATATTATTAGTAAGGAAGTAGATAAACTACTGCAGCTTGGAGTCATATCAAAATCGATGCATGCTGCGGGAGAATGTATATCTCCAATTTTTGTAGTACCAAAACCGGATGGTTCATATCGATTGATTTTTAATTTTAAGCGCTGTAACCAGGCTGTTCTTTACAGACATTTCAAAATGGATACGCTTGCTGCAATTCTTAGTCTTGTTACTCCAGGAGCCTATATGGCTTCTATTGATTTAAAGCATGCATATTACACTATTCCTATTGCAGACGAACAACGGAAATTTCTCAAATTCGTTTGGAATGAACAACTGTATGAGTTTTGTGTACTGCCCATGGGGCTAACTAGTTCTCCCAGAATTTTCACCAAAGTCATGAAGCCAGTTTTGGCTACTCTTCGACAAAAAGGACACATTAACAGTGGTTTTATTGATGACTTTTATTTTCAAGGTCAGGAATTTTCGGATTGCGTAGTTAATGTATCGGATAGTGTTAGACTTTTTATTAGTCTCGGGTTGCATGTCCACCCTGACAAATGTGCATTGATACCCTCCCAAGAGCTCTTAATTTTGGGGTTCTTAATAAATAGTTTGTTAATGATAGTAAAACTTCCCCTAGAGAAAAAGGTCAAATTGCGAGATCTCTGTTTACAGGCTTTGCGTGGCAACAAACTTACAATTCAATTCGTTGCTAGTGTTATTGGTACACTTATCTCTGCCCTCCCTGGGGTTGAGTTTGGTCGGTTACACTATCGCAATCTTGAACGCGATAAAATTAACGCCCTTGCACGGAATAATGGAAATTATCGGGCATTTATGCACCTTTCTGAGGCAGCAAAGCAGGAGCTTCAGTGGTGGACTACACATGTAATGCATGCATCTAGGCGACTACGTCATCCCGTCATCTCCTATATCTTTCAGACTGATGCTAGTGATCTTGGCTGGGGCGTAACGTGTACTACTAATCCTCAGTTACAGTCTCAGGGTTTGTGGACAAGTGAACAGCGTACCCTACATATTAATGTAAGGGAACTGTATGTTGTTTTTATATGTTTAACAATATTTGGTATGGAGAAGTCTGACGTCCACATTAAATTCGAGTTAGACAATATGACTGCCGTTAGTTATATCAATCACATGGGGGGATGTAGATCTTCTGCTTGTGATACAGTAGCCAGAAAGATTTGGGCGTGGTGCATTTCCCACAATATATGGGTCACTGCTAATTATATTCCAGGACCCAGCAATGTAGTTGCAGATTCACTTTCTAGAAAACATCTGTCAGATCATGAATGGCAGCTTAATACGGATATTTTTCACAAACTCTCCAAAAAATTCCCTAAGTTTAGTATTGATCTGTTTGCATCTTTGTTGAACAGACAGGTAGCACGGTATGCCTCTTGGCACCCGGATCCACATGCTGCAATAGTGGATGCTTTTAGTGTATCATGGGCGAATGAATATTTTTATGCTTTCCCTCCTTTTAGTCTCATTCCGAAATGTCTGGAGAAAATCTCTCGAGACCAAGCCGAAGGGGTTTTACTGGTCCCTGCATGGCCCACACAAACATGGTACCCTCTTCTTCTACAGATGCTCATTCAGCAGCCAAAGCTGTTGTTGTGGACCCCTCAAGTGGACTTATTGAGACACCCATTAGGCAAGGTTCACAGCATGCAAGGAAAGCTGAAGTTGATGGCATGTCCCTTGTCCGGCAACATTATCAGAACCAGGGCTTTTCTGACCACATTACCGGTGTACTCCTCGATTCATGGCGAACTTCTACACAAAAACAGTATGCGAGTTATCTTAAAAAATGGAATTTATTCTGTCGTGAAAGGAAAATTCTTGCACATTCCCCTACTTTAAATCAAGTTTTGGAATTCTTGTACACACAATTGCATTTATCATATTCTAGTATTAACAGTGCCAGATCAGCGTTATCATGTTTTCTTTCTATTGGTAACTTTCCAGTGGGGAAGCACCCAATAGTTTGTCGTTTCCTAAAAGGGGCATTTGAACGGAAACCACCTGCTAATAAGCATCATGCTATCTGGGATGTCCAAACAGTTTTGGCTTATCTGAAAACGTTCACCCCTAACAGTGGTTTAAGTCTTAAAGAGCTTAGTCACAAATGAACAATGTCATTGGCTTTGGTGACTATTCAGCGGAAGCAAACTTTAATACACCTCAATATTAACAATGGCTGCATGATACAATCAGATGATCAATTTGTGTTTGTTCTTGATAAGCATATCAAACAAAGCAGACCAAATTATTCAGTTCCACCTGTTATTGTTCCTAGATACAATTTGGATTCTGATGTTTTCCCATATTTATGTTTAGAAGCGTATTTTGAGAACAGGGGCGTAGGAAGCGGGGGGGGGGGGGCACGTGCCCCCCCCCCAATTTTTTTAAAGGACTAAAAGTGCCCTTTTTTGTGATAAAAAGTGCCCTTTTTGTGTTGAAAAGTGCCCTTTTTTGTGAGGAAAAGTGCCCCTTTTGTAGAAGCTAATGTCGCTGTAAATACTAAATTAAAACAATAGGTGCCGTTTTTGTGTGGAAATTTACAATTTTTTTTTAAAAATTAGGTCACAAACATAAATTTCGGTATGATACGACGGAAAATTTTCCTCAGGAGAAATTTCTCTCCCCCCCCCCCGTCGACAACATTTCCGGGAAAAATTTTTTAGGTGCCCTTTCCGATAGTAATGTGCCCCTACAAGCCGGTGCCCCCCCAAACTCCAGGTGCTTCCTACGCCCCTGCTTGAGAAGACTAAACATTTACGACAAAGTGTCAATTTACTCGTTGCAACGATAAAACCGCATCGTGCTATTGGATCTCAAACTTTAGCTTGATGGATTAAAATTGTCTTAGCCGGTGCTGGTATTGACATTACTTTATTCAAACCACATTCTACACGACACGCGGCTGCAACAGCAGCCTATGCAGCAGATCTTCCAGTAGATGAAATTCTGCAAAGAGCAGGTTGGAGGAATGCTACCACATTTAGGCGCTTCTATTACAAAGGGGTTATTGAGTAGATCTTACACTTATCGTACGTAATATTTATTAGAATATTGTGTTTCAGTGGTTGGATAGTGTGTATAAGGGAAACTTATTTATTTATTTCTAAACATTCAGATTAAACTTATTTGCATAAGTTTGTATTGTCGGTATTTTTTATACTCACAGCGACCTCGCATGCTTTGAAGAATTCATGTCAGTCCGTAGGTTACGACTTATGGGATAGAATTTAGAAGTTAAACGAAACTTACCTGGAAGTTGAAGTTTGACTGGAATTCTATCCCATAAGATTAGTAACCAAGGACTGACAAGCCCACCCGCCCACTCCTACTGGGTTGTCAGTCTGATGATATTGCTTCTTGGTTCTGTTTATGCTTGGTCAATGTGCGTTGCTTTCAAATAATGATGTGATGTCACTCCAGGTGAGCCTGCGTTCGTTCTTCTTGTCAGTCCTTGGTTACTAATCTTATGGGATAGAATTCCAGTCAAACTTCAACTTCCAGGTAAGTTTCGTTTAACTTCTAAAATAATAGCGCAAACAAGACAAAATCAAGATATTTTTGAAAGAATATAAGACACGATTGGTACACGAGGCCTGACGAGGCTAAAGTATGCCCGTTCGCAGGTTAGATCAGCGGGCACGATGTAAACAATTGATATAAACGAATCGCTGATTGGCTTAAATTGGCATAAAATGGCTTAAAATATATAAGCTCGTCGCTGAATGGCTATTTGTTAACATACGGTACAGTCACGTATGCGATAGCATATATATATCTGCTTCGCAGACACAAAAACCACGTTCTTGCATCGGAAAATCCCGACCGAATGAAACCTGAGCTACTTGTAGTAGGGTTTGACACTTGACAACTATAAATAATTATTTTAAGCCTAATCCCTGGCTGATAAAATTTGACACAGTCTGGGCTGCAGTATTAAAACCGGAATAATTTTTAAAATGTTTAATGGCTTTGTCTTGCATGTTTGTTTCAACTGTATATACATGTATGTAAGCCGAGTCAAACAGAACCGAGCTGGAAAAGTATGTGCTGTGCACAAGCCATTTCAGTCCACGGTTTAACATCACGGGATGAAAATAAATCTGACTGACTCATATACTAAAACTGTCTGTACCAATGGCAATGTTGGTCAAGTAAAAAGCTATGCTGAAACTAGCTTAAAAAATAATCAATAGAACTAGAAACACGACGTTTCGAGCGAAGGCCCTTCGTCAAGAGTTAGTAGCCAACTTTGTCAAGAGTTAGTATAGTGACTGACTCAGCCGGCTCAAACAAATATTCCTGCTCACGGCCACATCTCAGACTCAGACGGGATCAACGGGCAGAAACAAAGATAGTGTTATTTTAAATTGTCATCATGTATTGTTTTTTTACGCATAACTGAGTCATTATACACATGATTATAAGTATTTACAAGTAGTCAAAATACTAGTGACTATAATATTTTTGACTACCCAACGTATCGGGTCGATTCTATCTAAAACGGCACACTTGCAATATTGTGTTTTCCTTATAAATACTATGTTTATGGCACCGAATACATCAGTGCCCGATAACACAGAGACCAAAGCTGATAGGTGATAAAAAATCATTAATCGGGGGCGTACGATTGTTGCATGAGTAAGATAGAAAATGCTCGCGCATTTTGTCTAATTAATAATCGAGTATTGTCTATTAAAAATTGCGGTGTGAGATGTTTTTGACAACCATGGTGTTTGATTTTGAAACATTTCCGTCGCCGGGCGCTACATATGCCTTTATCAGTGATGGGTAATACAAAATATATGAGTATCAGACAGCTAGGTTTCAGTTTTCACTAACGCTATTTATAAAATGTCTTTGGGTTTTGATCATGATTTCGCGTGTGACAAAAATGACAATAAAGTTCATTTGGCATTGCGAAGTTCAACCTTCCTATATAATTGGTTCTGAAATAAATGAAGTCAATCAAATGCTTTGTTTACAAATACATTTTGTAAAATTATAGTATGACCTCTGTCTCGGACCAGAGGAGGACAGGTCACTATACCACAATGCATTGCTTCTCGTTAATATTCGGAATTGAACTTTGCGAGTCTTTGAGAGATGTTTGTCGAAAAATTGTGTTTTTTTATCGCGAATTTTCACTCTGAAAATTTTGATTTTTGGAAGGTATGTTTTTATAATTGTTTTATTTGAGACCTTAATTGCACGATTTTTGTTTTATGTGGTTGTTCATGCTTTAGTGATGTTAATCACGCATTGAATTATCCTTGGTTTCGGGTCAGTGCACATGTTACAAAAGTGCCTCCGATACTCGCCGGGGGTTAAATACTTTTTAAATCAGGAAATTCAACAAAATTTACAGCATCGAATTCAGAAAGGATTATTCTTATATCAATAGTGATACTTCAAACACAAATAACCCCCTCGAACTGACGAGTTATCGCGGTTTGAAAATTGGGTATATTTCGGGGCTATAAAAGAAATGGCATTGATATACGCCGGGGGTTAAATAGTTTATAAATCGGAAATCCAGCAAAATTCACATCATTGAATTCGGGGAGGGTTACGGTTCTAGCTGATACTTTAAAACATTAATAATCCCCTCCAACCGACGAGTTATCGCGGTTTGAAAATGGGGTATATCCCGGGTATAGTGCCATTACACGAAAACGGCCATGATATACGCAGGGGGTTATTAGGTTTATAAATCGGGAAATTCAATAAAATTCACCTTTCCCTTTCTATTGGTACCTTAAAACATAAATAACCCCCTGAAACCGACGAGTAACTGTTGTTTAAAAATGGGGTATTTTTACTTTTGTTGTCACCAATCGTGGGAAAAGAGGAATTCTACAGAAAATATAGCGCGAATGCAACGTAAACAAGCCAGCTATTCTATAAACGTATTGTACCTGATTGTATAATTTGTTTTTATAGAATTCGACTTATTCGAGTTTATTGGAGCAAAAAATGGAATCTATTAATGATGACGATGTTCTCATTGTTGATCATGATTTAGAAAATGAGGAAACTCAAATTTAATACTGATAGGCCAGGAAAATAACTCGTGTGGAAAGTTCATCATTCACTACATTCAATCGAGCTTTGTTTCAAAGTCCTGGCACATCAGCAAAGGTATAATAAAAAAATATGGTCGACGAAATTGTACTTATATTCTTTGCTATTTTATTCTTATAAATTGTCTTTGTATATTCAGTGCAAAGCTGGAGTAAATACGAGCAACAAAATTGCTGCAACTTGCAACAAAATCTGATTTCAACGCATGTACGACACAACATGCATGTGTCAACATTTCTATGACTTGTATATTTAGTTATGTGTCAACATCTCCGCTTAACATCCGTTGAAATCAGATTTTGTTGCAAATTGCAGCAATTTTGTTGTCTGTCTGTATTACTCCACCTTAATACCTCTGTGTAACATTATTCTGCAGTGTGACATTATTCATGTATGATTATTCATATGTCATCTGCGCCCCAATTTCCATTTTAGTAAATGACATACTTTTTTGTAGTTTCCTAGCAGAAAGATCAGGCTGACTCTATCACAGAAGTCATCAGTGAAAAAAACATAAATGGACCTTTGAGAAAAATAAAGCTTTGATCAAGTTGATATCTATTGCCAAAAAAGACCATGGATCTGGAGAAATTTTGTCCATAACAAAATAAAATAACAATTTACCTCATTAGCCTAATAATCTGTGTCACTGTTATAATGGGTCGTTCCAGAAAAGATCCATACTCCCCCCACAGAGGAAATTTCTGCCGTCCGGAGGGGGAGGGGAGAAAAAATTGTTTCTGATAATAGTAAATGTATTAGGACATCCGAAGGGGGTAGGGGGGTTAACTTCCTATTTCCTCCGTGGGGGCGGTATGAATGTTTTCTGGAATGACCCAATTGTAGGGATCCATAATAAAATAAATATATTATGTAGGAATCCATCATAAAATAACAACAATTTACAATATACTTCTTGTGTGTGTTGGTGTTATTTACTCAGATGAATATGTTTGTGATGTTACTCTGAGTATGCATCCACACCGAGCTGAGTTCAGTTGGTAGAGCATTGGACTAATATCCCAAAGATGGCAGGTTCGATTCCCACCATGGTTAGGCAAACTTTTCAGCTTGCCCGGTGTGGATGCACACTCAGAATAACATCACAAACATCAATTTACAATATCCTAGTAATCTATGTCACTGTTATAATTGTTTCTTGGATCATCTCTGTCCCATGGTCCAGTTTTTGCAGTAAGCAATGCTGCACTGTAGAGTAATAGTACCCGCCAAGCACACATAATTTATTGGTTGTAGATCACAGTTATATCCAGTTTGCCCTTGTAAATTTATTAGTGTCAGCACACTGTCCAAATCTTCATTAACAGTATCTGGACCTCGAGGTTGAATTGTTTGAGAAGGTGGCAATGGCAGAATATCGAAATCCCACAAAATAACATTCCCAAAGATAGTCCTGTCCCATCTCGTCTTAGATCACTGAGGTCAGAGAACTGCAATATATAAAAACAATCTTCTGTTTAACCCTTTAAGTGCCAGCGTTAGACAGAGTAAAATATCAAAGTTAGGCGCATGAGGGCACAATGTGACTCAATGGGTTAACTAGGCACATGGGCAGATAGGCCAGCTACCATTAGAAAGAGTAAAATAATCTGGCGTTAGAGTAAAATAATAAAGTAGGGTGCATCAGGGCGCAATTAATGCAACTCGATTCAATTCAATGGGTTAATTACTTTAATAGTACGTATAGTCGTATAAAATACCAAAGTAATCAAACCTCTATGATCAAACCAAATGAACAGTGTTGGCTTCTCTAACTTAAACTATTTTTTAGCTCTATATGCATATATTCATATATTAATAAATATCTATCTATCTATATTCAAAATAGAAAGCACAAATATTTTTACCAATATTGGCTATAAAATCATAGAAAAAGCATTGCGTAGATACATTGGCTTTGTATTGGCTTTAAGGATTAAAACAAACAACTTACCCTAAAAACAAAACTGGAATGTATCTCTATACTCTATCAATGATGGGCTATTGCAATCGGCGAATATTTCATCAAATTTTAGAGACAAATATAGCGATTCTTCTGATGTAAATCTCACGGCATTGAAACTGAACACACGATAACCCATAGGAACCAACAGCATAGGCTCTGACGATACACAATGAACAAAAAGAAAACCGTGTCCTTCCAAAACTGAAGCTTTATGGCGGTGAATCGGCTTTACAAAATCCGCCATATTTCTCACTCCTGTTGTTTTGATAGTGAAGGTCAAGCGAACAATAACCGCCCGCTCGTGTAAAATCAATAATATATAATTAATTGGAATACTCGCAATGCATCACGGTATAGTGACCACTCCTCCTCCGGTCTCGGACCAATGTCTCTGACACTGTCTGTTAATATGTGGAATTATCTGTATTTCTAGTCTACAGGATGGCTAATAAACTGAACGATCGTCCTTACCTTGTGCTTTTCCAGTATTAGTTTACCCATTTAAAACTCCTTCTGCGACCACATAGAAACTTTGGTAGTGTTAAACGTAGAGTCTGATGATGATTCAGCATAAAAAACCAAACATAACACTGTGTGTGACATTTTGGCTACCTCTGTCGGAAACAAATTCAATAGCCTATTCAACACACGACCAAGTGACATGATAATTAGGAGCCATTAGGAAAATTGTTTGTTCGGAAACATGTATGTGATGTGTAGGTTATTTTGATTCGTGACTCTTTACTGGAAAGCGATTATAAAAATGCGGATTGATGATCACTTTGTCATTCTGCAATCTGCTCTCGTCGGCGGCTGTTCTGATTAGCGAATTATCGAAACATTTACATTTTATACTTTACAAGATGGCTTCTCATGGATTACTTCGTCAGCATGTAAAGCCAAAGCAAATGCTAATATTTTTCAGTGTTGACCAGACAACGGCTGTTCTGGAGACGACAAAAGTAAAACATGTAATTGAATGTGACGTGGTCCAAGAGGGAGCAACTGTGCTTGTGGAATTCGGGAAGGAGAACTTCGAAGCAAGTGTGATCAAGCTACATGGTAAATAAAAAACTAAACTTTCCCGTTCAGTTCTAACTACTGTTAGGCATTAATAGGCAAAATATTCGCTTATATATCAAGTTGCAAATTCCGGTGACAGTAGACATTTTTATTTGGCTTTAATCAGGGCCCTAGGGGGCTTTCCTTTCACTTGCAAGAGCAGCTAGAGCACCGCTAGTATTATTTACAACTTAATACATTGCATTTTCTTCTGTATTATATAGATGATCCTAGCGTTCTAGTAGAAGCGGAGACGGACTTTTTAATTCAGATGTTTGGGAATGAACATGAAGAAGTGACTGTTGACAAGGAAAATATGCCACCGACTACGCTGACAACTGGGAAAGAGACACAAGGAAATAACACGAAGGCAACTTGTACATGTGTATCGTCAAAGCCAAAGGCTCGGCCAAAGGAAGTAAGAAAACGAATGAAATCCAAAGAATGATCTGATCAGTCAAAGGCAAAAAGACCAAAGAAGATATGTCTATGTCTAAGTTCTTTCCAAAATCCAAATAGTATCATATGGTATGTTACTTGGGGGCATGCAATCACAAGGTTTCAACTGATTTTTGGCTCAATTAAGAAATACACAATCAAATATAATTACACAAATCATGATTCATGAAGAGATTTAATAAAGCCTGCATTTCTTTAACTACTGCTTTCTGAATAGAATAATTACTGAAAGAACATTTTTTAACTTGCATGTATATACACATTTCAAACCAATGCAGTCTTATTTATTTAGAAAAAAGCTGTTGGAAAGTTGAAAACTTGTGGCTGAATGTTACAAAGTCTACAAGTTCCTGGACTAAAAATTGCTTAATCCTTTAAGTGGCACTGTGTCCTGATGTGCCCTAGCTACTTTATTATTTCACTTTGTCTGATTCCAGACAACAATTTTACTCGTCAGGCAGAGATTGAGTGCTGCCACACAAGGAGTTGATTAGACTATCTGCCTGTACCTCACTGGCAGGCCCATACACACCCTGTTAACCCTAATCAGTGGCACTGTGCCGAGATGTGCCCTACTTTATTATTTTGCTCTGTCTATATAATTCCAGATCATTTTACTCTGCACACTATATGATACCTCAGTCCTCTGATGTACCGTAAGCAACACTCATGATGTCGCATTGTTTCGGCATCTTCTAAATCAGAAACTTTAATCTATGTCTACTTGAATTATGTAACCTATTGAGCGGCAACACTCTCCCTTGACAAGTAAGGCGTTAGACAGAGTAAACTAATCTGGCATTAGGCAGTACTCTGCATTTGCTGTGTGATAACTGTGGTCCTCTCACTGATATAAGCAACACTGATGTTGCATTGTTTTGGCATCTTCTAAATCAGAAACTTTAATCTATGTTGACTCATTTAAGTTCGTTTGAGTGGCAGTACGTACTCTGCATGTGTGTGTGATACTCTAGTCCTCTGATGTAAACAGTACTGATGTCGCATTGTTTCAACACCTAAATCAGAATCTTTAATCTATGTTAATTCATGTAACCCATTGAGTGGCAGCATTCTCCCCTGACAAGTAAAATCGTCTGGCGTTAGACAGAGTAAACTAATCTGACATTAGGCAGTACTCTGCATTTGCTGTGTAATAACTGCATGTAGTCCTCTGATGTCTAGTAAAACAATATTGATGTTGCATTGTTTCAGCATCTTCTAAATCATGCAGAAACTTTAATTTATGTTGAAGCTAGATTAAAAGCTAGATTGTAACTCCTTAATTAAACATAAGTAACCCATGTGTTTGATGGAGGCCTTTTTCTGTATATGTTACTTTATAGTAGCTGTGTGTGGGGCACTGCATGGAGGCAATCACAAGGTTTCAACTGATTTTTGGCTCAATTAAGAAATACACAATCAAATATAATTACACAAGTCATGATTCATGAAGCGATTAAAGCCTGCATTTCTTCAACTACTGCTTTCTGAATAGAATAATTACTGAATGGACATTTTTTAACTTGCATAATTTATATACACATTTCAATTAAACCAATGCAGTCATATTAAATGAGACAAAAAGCTGTTGAAAAGTTGAAAACTTGTGGCTGAATGTTACAAAGTCTACAAGTTCCGGGACTAAAAACCGCTTAATCCGTTAGGTGGCACTGTGCCCTCGCTACTTATTATTTTACTCGACTGCCTGATGCCAGACAACAATTTTACTCGTCATGATCAGGCAGAGATTGAGTGCTGCCGCACAACGAGTTGATTAGACTATCTGCCTGTACCTCACTGATAGGCCCATACACACCCTGTTAACTTTAATCAGTGGCAATGTGCAGAGATGTGCCATACTTTATTATTTAGGGGGCCGGAGAATGCTGCCACTCAGTGGGTTAATCAGACTATTTGCGCATGCACCATCTATGTGGCATTATGCACCCAGATGTGATTTTACTTGTCAGGGGGAGAGTGCTGCCACACAGTGGGTTAATTAGTAAGATAAGGAAGTACTGTAGGGTGCTACATTCTCTTGAGCCCCCAAAAAGCAAAAGCTAAAGTCAGCCCCTTTACAAAAGAATATAAGCGGCCTTTTTAGTGTTTAGCCTACAGTATACAGTAACTATTTATTGGTTGTTTTTAGATAATAAGCATTGAGGCAGAAGCCTTGCCAGTTGAGGGAAATAAGGAAGATGGAAATGTGAAAGAGGACGAGGATAGGAAAGAACCGTTGTCTTCCCTGCATGTTGCTGAGCAAGAGAAAGTGCGAAAATTGATATCACAATATCAAAAGATAGGTGAGGCAGAAGTTAGTGTCCAGACCGATAAGAGAATTTCGAAAGAAGTTGGTGTCCAAAAGGATGGAAATGAGCAACCAAAGTGTTCCTGCCATGATGAGTTGCTGGACAAGGTAACCAGTTTGGAAAATAAACTAGACCAACTCGTTTCGGTTATAAAAAAATTCTAACAAGCAACCAGATCAGGAGTGCAAAATTCCAGAGGATATATTTAATTGTACCGACCCAATTACATGTAGTTTCGACAGCTTTGATGAAGAGTCGTCAACTGTACTGCAAACTATTTCGGAAGTTGCATCTATCTGTTCAAACAATACTTTACCAGGCATGACTGCAACAATAGCGGAGGAAAGAACTGTCAATCTAAGAACAGCCTCAGTGATTTCACCATCAGTCTCAGTGATTTCACCATCATCAGTCTCCGCAATTCAACCATCTGTCTATGATGAATTGTTCAAGAAAAGTTCGTCGATTTCAAACTTTGCCAAAAATTGTTTGAAGCAGACGAGCTTAAAGACTCTAACTGTTCAGGAACGCACCAGAAAAAGACACTGGAAAGAGATCCACGTATGGACTTAATTAAGGAAAGTATATTTAAGAAATTTCAAGTGGAAGATAAAACAAAAGCATTGTCTGCTTGTCGAAAGGCAATTGACAGTGCAATTCGCAAACTTAGGTTTAAAGCGTGACTTGCTATTTATATTCTTATTCTACGACCATTATATGTACATATTGTTATAAATATTTCCACTTTTTGCATGTTTTGGACAACTTTTCCTGTAATACTTTCCACATAGTACTTTTAGTTATCGTACTGTATAGATCAATATAGAATTCTTCTTCTTTGAAGTTCCTTGTATGATTGCATGGTGATATTTATAACAGTTTTGTTTATGTGGAAAACACCATGATTATTTATTTGCCAATCTGTTCCAATACTTTTGTTACATTATTACATAAGTGAGATGCCAACAAAATCTTGATATCACACTTCGATTGAATAATACTGTAGTTGGAGTAGTAGATGGAAATTATCAAGTGAAAATTTATATCAATTTATTATAAGTTTCTGTAGAAAAAATAAAGATTTTATTATGGACATTTCACCTGAAAAATGTCAAAATTTAAACTTGAATTTACCAGAGTTGGGGGTTTACAACCACGCCCCATCCCTTAGTGTTGCCAACTGTAATTTTGTAAAAATTGCAGACATATAAATTTACTGAATGAGACATCTGGTTGACAGTGGAAATAAATCAGAAAAACGTCCATAATAGTAACTTACTGACCGAGAGTGAGGGCAGTACGGGAAATATCCAACCGAGGTCTTGCTGTATTGACCGAGCGATAGCGAGGTCAATACAGCAAGACCGAGGTTGGATATTTTCCCGTACTGCCCGAACGGTTGAGGTCAGTAAGTTTTTTTTATTATATGGCATTGTACGTTTGTAAAAAATGGGAAAAAAGCTCACGCGAGAGCAAAGTACAAAGTCCGAAACACTTGCAAAAAGAACAATTGTAAAAAATGTTCTCAAGCTTGGTTAGTAAAACTACTCCACAGCACTTTTTATATAGAATACTAACACAGTTGCATAGCATTTCAAGAAAAATACGAGGTATTTCGTCATTTAATCAAAGACAAAGACAATAAATATGGAAACAACAAAATTAATAAACAGTATGGACAAGAACATTTTTAGTTCGCTTCATCTCATAAATAGATCTCTTTCTATCGAAAAAACCCAGAAATTTTCAGGGAAAAATTTAAATCTGTGGCTGCTTTAGTTGTATTTTTTATTTAGGATGGTGTCAAATTCCTCGGCTATCTGCAAATAAGATTTGCAGCTCTTCACAAAGTCAAAAACAGCTATTTCTGACTTCTTTAATAGTTATAAACATTGTAAAATTTACCTTGTAATTTCGACTTTCGCTAACAAAAACATATTGAGAAAGTTCTTTAACCAAAGAAGGTGCTCCTTTTCTTTAGTTTAGGTTTATTTTTCTTCGTTTTGAATAGTTTTGAAAGACTTTTATCCTGCCTCGTCAGCAGCCAATCAAATTGCGCGATTCATCAAAACAAATGCTTGCCATATAATAATAATAATTATTACACTCAAGTAAATTTTTAACATTGAAGTTCAAATTTCAGGTAAAATCCTCCAAACCCCACAACTACAGATGTTTCACTATGTCCCTGAAGATCAACTGCAATGACCATACAACACTGAACCTTGTAGTGGGAAGAATATATGAAAAAGTAAATCCACCGCCATTGTGCTGAGATCATATTTTTAAATCAAGTGATTGTTGCAGCCATTTATTGGCATTGTAAGAAAGATACTGCATCTGTTTTATTTTGGCCATTATTCTGTAATTATTAACCCATTGAGTGGCAGCAAGTGGAGAGCCAGTTGATAAGTAAAATCGTGTGGCATTAGAAGAGTAAAATATTTTGTATCACAATTACTGTTGCTGATGAATTAGAATATTTAGGACAATGTGTCCATGTGAATTCCAGCTGTATTAATTAATTATACAGGCTGAATAAGCTAGCCACATTATCCGTACCATACCTATTTTTGATAATATGGGGACAATTATATGCGGACAGGATACTGCACGATAACATTTCTGGCAACATCAAAATATTTTTATTTATAACATTTAAAGTCATTATTTTCCTAATTTAGTTATTATTAATTAGTATAATAAGATATAATATTCAGCTTAAGCGGTTAAGATCAAAATTGAAAGCAAGTTTGCTTGCAAGTTTGCAAGAGCTTGCGCCTTCGACGCTTGAGTTGTTAGAAAGCCTATATTCATTTGAATACTCAACCCCTAAAGAATTATAAAGAAACACTGACCAAGCACCCCTCTAGAAAAACCTTGCTGGATCCACCACTGTTTACAATAAATGTTCAGTGCACAATATATAAGTTGACTAATTCACAAGAGAAATAAGAATGGAATCCACCGTTTAAGGTAAACAGATTTGATAATTGATACAACTGACACACACACGAAGAATGAACATTGATACGTGAAAGTCTTTGTGAACGAAACATTAAGCCTTTAGAATTGCATGATAAGCGTTTGAAATAAGTCGGGCACATAAGTATGAGCACAGACATAACTGTGTGGGGAAAGGCCCTCATTGTGACTTGGTTCCAGTAGTTGCAATTTCTTAAAAAATGCCCTGCACATGTGAGATTATCAGTTTTATCAACGCTAGAAATCTCCTTCAAAAACTCATTAATAATTCATGAAGCAATTATCCAATCTTGAGTAAGAAATTAGTCGCGTGCATACGTCTTTATACCAGCTAAAGAACACTTTAACAAAAGACCACTGTTATGCAAACTATATAAAGATTTTTGTATAAAGATTTTTATATAAAGATTTTTATATAAAGATTTGACTTATTATGCATACGTTTTTGAAGCCATTTAAAAAACTCGCAAGTCGTGTTTTTTTAGGTCTAAAGCCACTCGCGCTGCGCGCTCGTGGCTTTAAACCTAATAAAACATTCCTGCTCGTTTTTTAAATAGTACATAAAGCACTACATGTATATTTTATATAATAATAATAAAACATAACAATTACCTAAGCGATTTTCGAAATGGTGGCCGAAGCAGTTTTGTCAATTAAATGATGAAGAAATGAGTATTATTTAATTTTTTTTCCAAATAATCACCAAGGAAATTATACTTATTCACCTCAGGCTTACCCTGTGTCACACGAACATGAACTATGTTTGTGATTGGTCAATATTTATGTGAATCTTTTGATTGGTTAACCAATGAGCATCGGTCAATCAATGAAAAGACTCGCATAAATTTAGACCAACCACAAACAGAGTTCAAATATTGAACTCACCAAAGTGAGGCTGGATGCTTGAGTGACCAGAGCCTCCACTCAGTGCCCTCACTTCTGTTACAAGAGGCTCTGGCACCCAGGGTACCTCCAGCTGGGTGATTATCATGAATAAAAACCTTGACTTTGTCTCAGTTTTTATTCACAGATAATCACCTCGCCATCAGCAAATAATTGTTAATTTAATTAATACCCAAGAAAGTCCACGATCACTTGCTATAACAGCAGGGATTACTTTTTGAACATGTCCAATATATCGCTGGCATGTTTCTTTTGTTAGCTCTCTCCAGTAGGCTTGAATTCCATTAATGAGCTCATCTTTGTTTGTTGGTTTCACATATTTTCGCAAATGATGCTTTAATCCAGCCCAAATATTTTCGATTGGATTCAAATCCTAGACAACAATTAATATTCAATACTACATATTTTAAAATTTGTAAATTATAATACTCACAGGGTCTTATAGACAGGATCTGGAATTTGAGTGTCTAAATTTGAGATTTGTTTGTGCATATCATTTGGAAAAGTGATCTGCAATATTCATAATTTGAACCAAAACAATGTGCAAATACTTTAGATCTTATCCATGTTCAACGTGTGTAACCACTACTTTAGTATTTTACTCTGTCTAATACCAGACAATTTTACTCATCAAGTGGAGAGTGCTGCCACTCAATGGGTTAATTACTATAAAAGATAGAAATACTCGCAAATTGTTGTGGTAGTAAGGCTCACACACCACAAATACTGTCATTATAACCGATCAAGTCTAGGGGAAAGCAGTGTTACTTAACCCATTAAGTGCAAGTGCTCTTCCCTTGACAAGTAAAATCGTCTGGCGTTGGACAGAGTAAAACCATCTGGCATTAGACAGAGTAAAATCGTCTGGCGTTAGACACAGTAAAATCGTCTGGTGTTAGACAGAGTAAAATTGTCTGGCGTTAGACAGAGTAAAATACTAAAGTAGGGTGTATCAGGGTGCAATGCAACTCAATGGGTTAATGGTAAATAATGTGCAATGTTAATTGTGTCTAACATGCAATAAAATACAACTATTAAGTAACTGCAGAAGATCATAGATGTAAGTTTGATTACTAACTGGTGATTCTGGAGGTGTGACCCAGTGATCAATCCCATTATCTTTCATCCATTTCTTTGTTGAGTTGCTTGTATGTTTTGGGTCATTATCTTGCCACATGCGGTGACCATCAGGATACACCCTTCTGACGAATGGCAACAAATTCCTTTCTAAAATTGTTTGGTAGCCAATACTTTCCATGCATCCACTAAAAATACACACTTGTGTTGCTCCTCGCCAGGAAATTCCAGCCCAAACATGAACCTAAAAATTAAGTAAACATGCAATTAAAACTAATAGTATATAGAGAACCTGGGTTGACAGTCAGCCTGGGCTCATGTAAACAGAGCATTAATTTTAATAGTTTATTAATTGAGGGAATATATAGTACAGAGGCCAGGGTATTACACAACTAAGTTACTCACTACAATGCATGCTAGCTAGTACATTTATATCAAGATTTTGTTGATCTCGCTCGAGTGAATAACAGTTGAATGTTCTAGCTTATAGATTGAAATTTAGGGGCCAATCACGTACATGGAGCATCTTCAACCCCTGGGTTGAACTCAGCCCTGTTGGCCGGGTTGAAATTTCAGCCCTGTCTGTAATACAAAACTCTCAAAATCAAATTAATGCACGATTACATGACAATATTTTCAAACAAGGGCCAAGTTCAACCCCCAGGGTTAAAATTTCAACCCTGGATTTGAACTTGACTCTGGGTTGAACTTAATCGTCATGAGTTATTCAAGCATGTGCGGTAGTGATTATTTATCACAATAAAACAAAATAGAAGGTACATGGAGGCGCTTATTTACTTCAATGCCCGGAACATTTATATGTAACACTTATAACCCCAGGGTTGAAAGTGCTACATGTAATCGGTCCCTCATAAACATGAACTTGTGGTTAGAGCTGCACTGTAGCTCGGTTGGAGCGCTGCACCGGAATCACAGAGCCGCAGGTTTGATTCCTGCCAGGGACCTGTAGCTGTATTTTTCGCAACTGTTGCTGGTTAGGTCACATTATGTATATAAATTTCCACTTCATAATCTCCATCTACAAGGTCCTTCAACTAGATGTATACACATTAGTGACATTACATATTACAGGCTGTTCTTATACTATATACTGTATGATTTTTCTGGCTCCTGGAAGTTATATTAATTATAGGCAATGTGCCTTATTTAATTTCCTTTGCCAATTATTTCCTTTGCCATTTATAATGATTATTAATGTGTTTATAGTTGAGTTCATAAAATGGTATGGAAGTATATCTATACTATAATTACAATAGATGACAAAAAATTTAAAATAGTGCCATGTACCGTACCTTTAATGGATGCTTAGGACGGTCTTTTCGTTTTGGTTGAGTTCCATCTTTATGGAAACATACTCTTGCATACTGCTCCATCTGCACAAATGTCTCGTCCGTAAATATAACATTATTAAACACGTCTTCCTCTCTAAATGCTTTGAGACAGAATGCCATCCTTTTGATTTTATTTGGCTCGCGTACAAGTTGACAATACCTGGCGTTTTCCATCTTCCAACCGAGTTTACGTCTTACTCTGCGAATAGTTGCTTCGGAGATTTGGATATCGCATTCATTTGGCATTTTTCCTTCAACTCTCGAGACGTTAGTTCATCGTTTTCTTGCATTTTTCCTCGATGTACGCGATGGCTTCTGGTGCCAATTTGGCATTTCGACCACTGAGTGGAGCGTCGCCTATGTCGCCTGTCCTCGAATAATGCGACTGGAAAAGACTTATCGCACTTCTCGAGGTTTTAATGCCCTCTTGGTCAAGGGCTTTTTGTATTTTGGTCCGGTTAATTCCGCTTGAGTGTAAGGAAATGATTCTTTTTCTTGCATATTGCGAAAGTTTCCCCATACCTCTTTTACAGACGTGTAAACACAAAATGTGAAAGTAACGCTGATTAAAACTCGGGAAATAGCGATGATTTCCGACGCTGTCCGGTTTCGATACGAGGGTAACAGGAACGCGGAACGCAGGTGCGTTCCAGTAAAAGTGGAACGCAAATGGAACGCATTTAAGAACGCGTTTTCTGTTAGGTTATTTCTGAGCAGTACAAGTGTTTACATTCTCACAAGCGTAGGTCAGGCCTAGGCCACGGGTTGTAGTTGGCCCAGATTTCCTGGCCTATATGTCTGGCCAAGTCTAGGCCAAAGTCTGTTGCACTTTACACTACCAAAATGTAGGCCAACACCAGGCGAATTAAGGCTTGTAGTGTAAACACGACTTTAAGGGAGAAATAACAACATGTTATATTGATATAGCTACGATGTATTGCGTGGTTTTTGAAAACGAAGCAACGATATATATATATATATATATATATATATATATATATATATATATATATATATATATATATATATATATATATATATATATATA